TTGGACAATAGGCTCCCCACACTTTCCAATGACAGAGTCGTATTTCGGACTTATTCAGCGTCGTTCCCTGTACCTACGCCGGCAGTCGAACCTGATCACGGAAATGTGCGTGACAAGCCCGAAGAAGACGAACCGGTGGATCGCGCTTGGCTCTGTGCTCAAGTTCGACATTGTTCACGAACCCAAGAATCACAACCTTCTTCGCCGAGCGCGCCGCCGAGGGCAACTCGGCTCAGCCGCATGTGCTGACGTCGACCTGGTGGATCCTCGTGCATGCTCTTTCCCCCGCCATTGAGTTGATCACTGAGACTTTCGTCAACCTCCAGCAGCGCGATTTGGTACTCTGTCAGCAACGGAAGCTGTTTGTCGTTCTCGCCGACGAAATTGCCGACTTGTTCAAGGTGTGCCGCATCGCCTACTGCGAGGGCGACTTCGACGACCTACCTGTCAACACCTACATGCAGCGAAACCAGTCAATTGTGCTCATCGCCTCGCTTCGCTTCTACGTCGAAGACCTCGGGTCGCGCGTTCGAGTGCACTGGGAGATGCTCGACTACATCGAGCAATCACAAGTCTTCAGGACGATTGGACTGTTCGCCATCAGCATCACGGACGGCATCCGGCAAGTGGAAGCTGAGCGCGACCCAATGAACAACCCCTCCATAGAGCTCGCGCCACCCATCATGCCGCACGACCTCGTCAAGATGAGACCCGTCACATTTATCTCGGAGGTGCTAGAGCCGCGGAAGCCACAGCTCGAGGCGACGTCCTGGACAGCCGATCAGATCAACACCGCCGAGACGGACCACCGCGATTTGATCAAGGCGTACAACAAGGAGCCAGCGACGAAGGCGATAATCGACAAGCACGACCATCTCAAGTCATTCAACGACGCGTGGGACGAGGTCGCCGGGCATGGCGTCAAGCACCTCCAGCTGCGCCTCCTTTGCGCCGGTCACGCGACCGTCTTCCCCAACTCGACGTCGTTCGAGTCCGCCTTTTCGATACTGAAGTGGGAAATGGACGAGTTCCACACATCCATGCTCGACCTGTCGCTGGAAGGTATCTTCCATGCCAAGCAGTTTGAGCTTCTGGACTCGATCATGGTGTCCCTTGAGCAATAAATTGCAAACCCTAAAGTCTAAACCCCTTCCACCTCCAACAGTCGATGGCCTTCCACTTTTAAGCTAAAAGTGTTACTTCCTCCATTCCGAAAAACTGGAGACATATTACTCTCAATTCAGTTTCTCTGGCAAAGAAGTCCAAAATCGCACGAAATTTAGACCAAACATAGCCAATTATAAGCCAAGTAAGGGGCAATTTTCAGATTTTTTTATTGCTCCTATGCGCTTCACAACCAAGAATCAAAGTACCTGACAAAGGCCCTCAAAACTTTAAACTTACGTATCTCAGTCATTTCTTGTCCAATCGAGCTCAAATCAAGCGCAAACGACTCGTCTCGTTGCGAAGATATAGCTAGCACATCTCAGATGTTTTGGCCAAGTTATCGACGAAACCCGATCCTGCGCGCCACGATGAACCACGACCTTCCCAACGACCAACGGTGGAGTTTGTACCACGACCTTCTGGAAAGCAAACAGAATGGTCGCCTGGCCAAGGGGAAGGCAAACGAACTCCTTCAAAGTATGGCATCTCACGACAGACACTCTCCAGGGTATGGACCCGAGGTCAGCAAACCAGGGCCCGGACCGGCATAGCTGACGTATCACTGTGAAGAAGGGCCGATCGGGGCGGCCACCAAAGCGAACGATGGAACAAGTCGAGGCCGCCGTAAAGAATGTCCCTCCGCATCTGCGCAAGACGTTTGCGTTGTTGGCGGCATCAAGCAGAATCCCACCATCGACGCTATGGCGAGTCCTGCAAACAAGGAAGCTGCGGCGTCGTACGAGTCGGCTCAAGCCCATGGTGACTGAGAGGCACTCCTTTAGTATTGCCCCCGCAAATAATTTTAAATATTTGTGCATGTTCGAAATTCAAAGCAAATTAATAGGATCTATTGATTGCAATAACAAGTCCCTTAAAGTACAAGTTACCTCGAGCGCCTCTTGGAAAATACCACGAGCGCCAAAGGAACTCATCCAAATAGCCTGGCAGGTGGTCTCGATGAACTCCACGCATGGCCTTGGTATACTGCTTCACGCGGACTTCCCACACACCCTCCACGG